GCTCCTCCTCCCGCCGCCCTCCCCTCCCCTCCCTCCCCATCTCCCGCATTCACTTTCTCTGAACGTGCCCTGACAAAGGGGAGACAAATTACAGAAGAAAAACTTTAAATCAACTTCGGGTCGCCTTTATTTATCCGGCACGTTGGATTGTGCTTCTTTCCTTAATTGCCCTTTCTTCTGCCACAAACATGTAATCATCTTGCTTTGCGTAGTCCTTGAGGGCTAGTTGAACTTAAAAATACCGCTAAGTGCGTTTTGTTTGCGGAGGAATTTAATAAAATTGGAAAACTTTCTTCTAATTGTGCCTCCTTCCCCTCCCCCTCGGAAAATTCCTGGGCCTTTCTTCTTGGCGGAGCACAAGCAGATTTTCTTGGGGCTCTGATGTGAAAGAACAGAACAAGTAAAGAGGTTTCATTTTCTGCTTTCTTTCATCTTTATTCTTTGAAGATAAGAAAAGGGCCACCTCACACTCATGATTTCTCTTAATTAGCGAGATTTAAAGGAACACCTCAGAATTTGGAACTAATTAACAATGTAGTTCTGTCTTATATCCCTTCTTTCTTTGAGTTGGGGCAAAATTGTCCGTGACATTTCTTTGTCTTGTACTTCAAGAATAATCCTATTTATTCTGTGGAGAAGACACTGCATGCTTCAGTGCCCATGTCTCCCCAAAGGTGCTATCTATACTATACGTGGTGAATCTCCACAATTACTGGGGGGGGGGGGGAGACATGGACGCAATCGTTTACAAGTCAAATTTCTGTAATATATGCATTATTTATGAAAACACCCTCAGATATGTATTTTAAAAAGCCAAAGCTTGTTTACATTGACAAATAAAATGCCTGGGCTGAAAAATTGCATTTTGTGTGCATCAAAATGCTAGGAAATATCATGGGAGGCTGGTGCTCTAACCAGGTCACAGAAACTGATATGGTATTCTTATTTGAAAATATGATTATTTATGATGTTCTTGCTGCTCTGCAATTCCTTTTAAGTTTATCATCGTGGCTCCATTCTTGCTGCTTTTTTTGTACCTTTTGCATTATTCCTTAGCTGTCTTCATCCGCTTGCATATTTGCTGTTTCACGTAATCTCCCTGTCACTTTTTTTCCATTTATTTTCTCCCACACTCTATTTTGCCCCCCAGAAACATATAAAAAAAGTAATTTTCTGATTTTTCCACTTTGCTTACTCTCAGCAGAGCTCAGCTAAAGTCACTAGGATGGTTCTTTCCAAAAAAAGAAAACAGTGGAGTCTCAGCGGGAACACTCCTTCTTTTTAAGCATTCAGAGGCATTTTATAAGCCATTGTCTTTTCCCCCTTCTCCTGAAACCAGTGCTGTGTGGCAAATTGTGCAGAATAGAAATGCCTATAATGAATGTATTTAGCACTGGGTCACGCTGATGAACATTCTGCCCCCATGAATAATACTGTTTTACAAGTTGGTAGCCCTTTCAGATTGCTGATCCCCAAACCCTGTAGGCAAACTAGGAAAACTTCCACAAGTAAAGGGGACTTTAGAAACTCATAGCCATCTGGCCTAGATCTCTAACAATCTGAGCCAATAATTATATCAATTCAGGCTTTGGTGAACCCCTTAGCAAACACCAAAAGAGCAAAGAAAGGAATTAGTGACTATTCCAAGTTGGGGTGAGAATTCAAAGGTAATCTAATTCCATTAGTTCATTTTCTTTGAGATTTTGGTAACTCACCCCTAAAACCTCAAGATCAATAAATTTGATTACCTTAATCTAGAAGATATTTTTTCCTATGCTTTTATTCTATGCTTAAGAAAGTAAAAATAATTTAAAAAATCCTTCTATTAATCCTGACAGTGGGCTTAAACAGAAATATTCTTTGTGAAAAAGAACTTAAGTGTAGCTCATTGGCATATTTAAAATAAGTTGTAAATTAATATCATACTGAATGTGTTTCTATG